GCGACGACGACCACCACCATCACCACTACGACCATCACCACCACGACCACCATACCCCCCACCACCACCATCCCCACCACCACCCCCACCACCCCCACCAGCACCACCACCACCACCACCACCACCACCATCACCAGCACCACCACCATCACTATCACCACCACCACCACCCCCACCACCACCCCCACCAGCACCACCCCCACCACCACCACCATACCCCTCTTCCAACCACAATCCCGCTTATCTAACCCCCACAATACCCCCCCCCCTTATCAACAACCGTAATCACCCCATTCCCCTACCCAACCACCACCAGCTCCACCGTCGCCATATCTCCCCCACCACCATCACCGTATCACCACCATCTCCAACACTGTTGAAGCTTCAGCGTCAACACAATGTTCCACCCGGACCACCAAAGCCGTCGACGCCAAACCAAATCTCAACTGCCTGTCTCAAGAAATTGCCTTTAGATGTTTAGCGTATCTGAACGAGCATCTTATCTCCTTAATTAACCAAGTTCTAGCACGGCTGATCCTTAATTAGTGTTTTAGAGTGCGGAGGGGCAGAGGTGAGACACGGGAGAGTGACCCTTATGAGTACGGGGCGCAAGGAAGGAAGGGGGAAGGAGTTCGGAAAGGCAGCTTTCCGAACACCCGTATCGAGAGGTACAGGCGACGAAGGAATGAATCGTTATCCGAACTGCGTTCGGATAAAGGGATGGTGACGGGGGGGAGGGGGGGGAGAGGAAGAGATTAAGGCAGTGTCTGGGATGCTCCCGGACGCAGGTTCGAATCCTCGTCACGGACCTTGTGGGTTTGTTCATTTGATGCATCACGTTAGTGTGATCTCTGTGTGTGTGTGATGGGTTTACCGTTTGATCTTTGTTCCTTTCTAAGTTGGTGGAATGCTTATGATAGCAAGTCATCTATATAGCTATCGTCCCGCCTGCTATCTCCATCTCTTCCTTCTCCTGCTATACCCATTTCTCTCCCCTTCTATCTACTGTCTATCTCTTCCACCACTTTCTATAGACGTATATCTATCTCCATTCTTTAAAAACATCTTCCTATCCCACTCCTACCTATCTACCTACCTACCTACCTACCTACCTACCTACCTACCTACCTACCTACCTACCTACCTACTTGTTCCTCCATCCACTTCCCATTCCATTTCCTATCCACTTTTTGCTCCTAATCTCCTATCCATTCCCCCCCCCCCCCACCCCATCCTTGTCTCCTAAGAATACACACCTGGGGCCAGATTCACGAAGCAGTTACGCAAGCACTTATGAACGTGTACATCTTTCCTCAATCTTTGATGGCTTTGTTTACAATTATTAAACAGTTAATGAGCTCCGAAGCACCAGGAGGCTGTTTATAACAATAACAACAGTTGATTGGCAAGTTTTCATACTTGTAAACTGTTTAATAAATGTAACCAAAGCCGTCAAAGATTGAGGAAAGATGTACACGTTCGTAAGTGCTTGCGTAACTGCTTCGTGAATCTGGCGCCTGCCTGCTTCGTTACAAAGAACAAACACCTGCCAACTTCGTTACAAAGAAGTGTCACTCGTTAACTAATCTTTATATCCAAAAAAAAATATATCAGAATATATCACAATATATCTACTCTAAGAAGGCTTTTAAGACGACAAACAAACATCTTCACCCTTAATAAAGACGTAGCCGCGTTTAACGAACTAATTTACGTTCTTGAATACGTCGTTAAAACGTCATATCAACGTAGATATATAGTTTTTTTATTATATAACATGAGGGGTATATATGAGTCTATAAAGACCCATATACGAAGATCTATATTCAACCTAAAACTCATTCAGGTGTCTATCCTGCGCTTGAAACAACCCAGCGGTTGCCACGCCTATTGTGTTTTCTTACTGATGTCGACACGTGTATTCTTAAGATCATTTAGAATTGTTTATGTTCTTGTTGGGCTCAATTATGTCTGTCTTGAGTCGGAGTGATTGACAGACAGATTGACCAATGATTTGTTTCGTTACAGAGAATACAAAAAAAAATTAGAGAGATGCCTCGGCCAATCAGATGTCTCGTGGGGGGGGGGGGGTTATGGGGGTAGTTGTTGGTCTGATTACATCCGGGCCAATCAGAGTTCAATATTGTGGTGTGATCTGAGTGTGGTAGTAATTAGTGCTATTGGGTACACACGCACGCGCGCGCACGCATACACACACACACACACACACACACACACACACACACACACACACACACACACACACACACACACACACACACACACACACACACACACACACACACAGGGGGGCCTGGTAGCCTGGTGGATAGCGCGCAGGACTCGTAATTCTGTGGCCCGGGTTCGATTCCCGCACCAGGCAGAAACAAATGGGCAAAAGCTTCTTTCACCCTGAATGCCCCTGTTACCTAGCAGTAAATAGGTACCTGGAAGTTAGTCAGCTGTCACGGGCTGCTTCCTGGGGATGTGTGTGTGTGGGAGGGGGAAAAAGTAGTTAGTAACAGTTGTTTGAGAGTAGAAAGGCGGACCGAAAGAGCAAAGCTCAACCCCCCGCAAGCACAACTAGGTGAATACAAGTAGGTGAATACAGGTGGCAATTGAGTACCCAAATGAGCCATAAAGACATTAGAAAGAATTCTTTCAGTGTCAGAGTGGTTGACAAATGGAATGCATTAGACAGTGATGTGGTGGAGGCTGACTCCATACACCGTTTCAAATGTAGATATGATAGAGCTCCAGTAGGCTCAGGAACCTGTACACCTGTTGATTGACGGTTGAGAGGCGGGACCAAAGAGCCAGAGCTCAACCCCCGCAAGGACAACTAGGTGAGTACACACACAGCTCTCCATCTCTACCAAAAAGCAAATATATCAAAGTTTAGGCGAAACTAAGCACACTGGACTTGTGATCCTGTGGTCCCGGGTTCGATCCCGGGCGCCGGAGAGAAACAATGGGCAGAGTTTCTTTCACCCTATGCCCCCTGTTACCTGGCAGTAAAATAGGTACCTGGGTGTTAGTCAGCTGTCACGGGCGGCTTCCTGGGGGTGGAGGCCTGGTCGAGGACCGGGCCGCGGGGACACTAAAAAGCCCCGAAATCATCTCAAGATAACCTCAAGATCTCAAGATAACCTCAAGATCTCAAGATAACCTCAAGATCTCAAGATAACCTCAAGATCTCAAGATAACCCCAAGATCTCAAGATAACCCCAAGATCTCAAGATAACCCCAAGATCTCAAGATAACCTCAAGATCTCAAGATAACCTCAAGATCTCAAGATAACCTCAAGATCTCAAGATAACCTCAAGATCTCAAGATAACCTCAAGATCTCAAGATAACCTCAAGATCTCAAGATAACCTCAAGATCTCAAGATAACCTCAAGATCTCAAGATAACCTCAAGATCTCAAGATAACCTCAAGATCTCAAGATAACCTCAAGATCTCAAGATAACCTCAAGATCTCAAGATAACCTCAAGATCTCAAGATAACCTCAAGATCTCAAGATAACCTCAAGATCTCAAGATAACCTCAAGATCTCAAGATAACCTCAAGATCTCAAGATAACCCCAAGATCTCAAGATAACCCCAAGATCTCAAGATAACCCCAAGATCTCAAGATAACCCCAAGATCTCAAGATAACCCCAAGATCTCAAGATAACCCCAAGATCTCAAGATAACCCCAAGATCTCAAGATAACCTCAAGATCTCAAGATAACCTCAAGATCTCAAGATAACCTCAAGATCTCAAGATAACCTCAAGATCTCAAGATAACCTCAAGATCTCAAGATAACCTCAAGATCTCAAGATAACCTCAAGATCTCAAGATAACCTCAAGATCTCAAGATAACCCCAAGATCTCAAGATAACCCCCTGCCCCTTGTTCTTATATAACAAATAATTTAACACGCAAACAATATAACAAAAATAAATTCCTGAACTGAAAAGCTTCATAAAGAAACAAATCAAAAGAAATAAAATATCGATATCTAAGTGACGATAAAGAAAAAAGCCAGTTAGAGCAGAGAGGAGAGAGAGAGAGAGAGAGAGAGAGAGAGAGAGAGAGAGAGAGAGAGAGAGAGAGAGAGAGAGAGAGAGAGAGAGAGAGAGAGAGTGAGTGTGGTGTATGGTTAGGTATACAGCATCTTCCTCTCCCACCACCAGCAGCACCATCAGTAGCACCAGTGAGGCTTACCTGACGTTGTCATAGTAACGCACCCCGCCAACATTATTGGTGTGTGTGTGTGTGTGTGTGTATATGTGTGTGTCTGATGTATCCCTGATGCTTGGTCCTCTTATCCTTATCCTCGGCCCCTTATCCTTACCCTCGAACCCTTTACCCTTATAAAACACCATCTGTGCAGGTGTGTGGCCCTTTAAGCCACACTACCATAAAACATGTGCAACACGTGACTACCTCAACACCTGTTCCCTTTGACATAAACAAATAAATTGCGATGCGGCAGCTTTTCAAAAAAAAAATCTAGTCTCCTGAACTTCTTGAAAGATGATTTTCATTCATTTATGAATGAAATAATAATGAATGTAAGTTAAAATAATAATGAATGATTGAAAATTATTTACACAGAAAAGGTTGCAACAGAGATTTATATATATATATATATATATATATATATATATATATATATATATATATATATATATATATATATATATATATATATATTTTGGTTTGTTTACCTAACCTAACCTAACCTAACCTAACCCTCGCCTAACTTTATGTCAAATTAATAATAATATTAATTTATTTCAGCCAAAAACGTTATTGAATACTGAGAACATTAATTAGAGTTATGAACACGTCTTTGTTGGATAAGGTTGGGGGGTTTGATCGCCGCTTTAACGAGCCAAGCTTGAAGACAGGTTGCAGTATACCTGTATAACAGTATAACAGCATATATGACACAACCATATGTCAGTATAACAGGAATATAACAGCTATACTCCGTCTTTGCCAGAAGTACAGACTTCAAGACACCGGGGCCGGGGGTTCCTCCCAGCCACCTACCCCAGACCTCCAACAGCAACAGCAACAGCAGCAGCAACAGCAACAACAGCAGCAGTTTGCAGCGGCAGCGGCTGCGGCGGCGGCGGCGGCGGCAGCTGCCTCTACCAGCAGTACAACAGCACCCTTACCTAACTCGCAGACAGCAGCAGCAGCAGCAGCGACGCCTGCAGCTGCTGTGTCTGCAGCTGCTCACTCCGGGGTGTGTTCCTCGCCAGTAGCTCCGCAGCAGCAGCAGCAGCAGCAACAGCAGCAGCAGCAGCAGCAGCAGTCAGTCTCACATTCTTCAAAGACAGACGAAAAGGTGAGTGAACTAATAACAATGTTAATATATAATAATTATATGTTTTCTCTAATAATATTATTATTGTGAAATGTATTACAAATACCTCTGCGCCGTATAGATAAAAACATAACACAAAAACACAAAAGACAGCAGAAGACCAGTATTTACCCAGGTCTTTCTTTTGTGAGTGTGTGGAATAGAACACCTTATTCGTGGACTTCCAGCGTGTCTCCGCTTACTCTTCGTCTTGCTACGTAATGTAAATCTGTTATTTGTCATTCTCACTCCAATAGTTCTATCAAACTCTTTGGTCATGACTTCTTGTCCCCTAATACCTGCTTCCTCCGGGGGGGCCTTTCTCCTTTTCCTCTGGTCGTACAATCCACTACGGGCTCACCATAGCCCGTGCTACTTGGAACTTCTTGTTCCAGGAAGCGACTTTGGTCGTAGCAGCGTAGCCAGAACAATGAGTCTCTGACAGGCAGTGTTACCCACCCACAGGGCGAGCAGCAGCAGCAGCAGCAGCAGCAGCACGCGGACGCTCACTACATCTCAGCCAACTGTGTGGTGCTGACGTACTTCAGCGGGGACCTGGCCACAGCTGTCGATGAGCATTTCTCCAGAGCCCTCACACAGTCCTTCAGTAAGACCAGTAAAGGTGAGTACGCTTCCAGGGAGGTGGATGCTTCCCGGGAGGGTGGATGCTTCCAGGGGGGGAGGATGCTTCCAGGGAGGGTGGATGCTTCCAGGGAGGGTGGATGCTTCCAGGGAGGGTGGATGCTTCCAGGGAGGGTGGATGCTTCCAGGGAGGGTGGATGCTTCCAGGGAGGGTGGATGCTTCCAGGGAGGGTGGATGCTTCCAGGGAGGGTGGATGCTTCCCGGGAGGGTGGATGCTTCCAGGGAGGGTGGATGCTTCCAGGGTGGATGCTTCCAGGAGGGTGGATGCTTCCAGGGTGGATGCTTCCAGGAGGGTGGATGCTTCCAGGGAGGGTGGATGCTTCCAGGGTGGATGCTTCCAGGGAGGGTGGATGCTTCCAGGGGGGGGATGATGCTTCCAGGGAGGGTGGATGCTTCCAGGGTGGATGCTTCCAAGGAGGGTGGACTCTTCCAGGGGGGGGGGAGGGGACGCTTCCAGGGGGGTGGACGCTTCCAGGGGTGTGGACGCTTCCAGGGTGTAGAACACCTTCAGGGGGGAAGTATACTCACACATTACCAGAACTCTTGTAATTCCAGGATTAGGAGAAGTTTCCAGGTTGAAGCAAGAGTCTGGGGAAATAATATTTCCAGCATGAAATTTCCTTCCAGAGGGAAAAATATGATTCCAAGTAAATTGTACCTGTTGATGAAGTATCTTTGCGAGGAAAACCGTTTCCAACGGGGAATACTTTTTTCCCCAAAAAGTGTATATTTCAAGAAAAGGAACAATTCTGGAATGGGAGTATTTTCCAGATCGAAGTCCGCTTCCAGATGGGGAATATTCCCAGAAATTCCGGCCAATGGGGAGCAGAAATCATCAAAATAACTTTTCTTCCCCACCACCACCACCAAACTTTCCCTACTACTACTATTACTAACCCCCCCCCCCCACCCCCACCCCTCCCCTTCCAACCAAAGACTTCCAAACCCCCCTCCCTACCCTACCACCCCACTCCCCTACCAAAACAAACCACCCCCCACCAATAACCCCAACCAAAGACACACACCCCCCCCTCCCCTCCAACCAAACAGAACCAGGTCCAAACACCCATTCCCCCCTATTTTTCCCCAAAACCCTCCCCCCTCCTTTCCCCACAACATCAGCCTCCCACAGTAGGGGAGAGAGGAAGGAATAGGTTTCATAACATGAGATTATCGAGTCACCTTGATAGCTCAATCAGCTCACCTCACCACTGGTATATTAATCCCCCCTTCCCCCCAGGTATATTGAGCCCCCCCTCTTCCCTGGCAACTAAGCCCCAGCTAGTGAGCCCTTAGAGCTCATCAACCTGTTGGCGGGGTGCTATTGATCAGAAATTCTTGCCTTTGTCTGAAGACTTGACACGAAGTATCTGTATACAGTCATTGCTCTTTGACTGGAAGTGTGAAGTATAGGCCTACTGCCCTGTAAACCTATAGGCCTATAGGAGTAAGTAGATATCAATACATCAAGATAACCAGGTATAGATAACCTGTACTGATAATATAAATATACTTG